GCAGAGATAAGTGATGTATATCTAAAACAGTATGTGGCTCAGATACTGTCTCTTGTGAAATCTCTTCGATAGGAAGCTCAGCTGACACAGACCCTGCCTTTGGACTTTGCTGTGCATAATATCCAACCAGGAGACTGGGTCCTAGTTAAAGAGTGGAAAGAAGCACCCCTGGTGGCTAAGTGGCGTGGACCTTTCCAGGTGTTGCTAACCACAGAAAGAGCCATCAAGACAGCTGAACACGGGTGGACAGATCACACTCGAGTCAAGGTCGCTAAAGCTCCAGAGGTTTGGACATCTCAGCTGGAGGAGAAGGATGAGAAGCTGCGACTGACACTCCGCAGGAGTGGACTGGAGCAGTAGCTGGTGCGTCGACATCGGGGGAAGCCCTGAGTGCCTACCCACAGACTGCCTGCTGAAATAGTCTGTATGGGCGTCCCTACTCTCAAATCTCCAGCCACTGGGAGCCAATCCATGCTGTCATTGCTTTCTTTATGCTAAGCTGTTTCTGTGCTTTCACTTGCCACAGGTGGTGTAGAAGACAACGTGAAATTGAAAATTAGAAATTAGATTATAACACTATCAGAATGTTTCTCTTAATAATTTTACCTTTATATTTTCAGTTAAGTTGAGGTCTAAAGTGAGAAAATAAGTTTTTTTACTTTAGGAGAACAAGTAGCAAAGACCTTTAACCTTAGACAGGAATATGTTATGTGGAGTATATTAGACCATTGTTCTTTCTGCTACCACAAGTTCAAAGAAATAAGTTAAGAATCAAAGTATATGATGATCTAATTAGAGAAAAGCAGTCCATTGATACATCCCTGGTTAGAAGGAGCACCCAAAAGTGAGGAAAAGATGAATGGCCACCTGAACGAATCATACAACACTATGGACCAGCTACCTGGAACCCAAATGAATTAATATCAGGTGCCAGAAAACCCATTTATAATCTAAATCGGATAATTAGGTTGCAAGCTGTCTTTGAAATAATAATCAACCAGACAGCTAACAGCTCTTGACCTTCTTGCTGACCAGTCTACTCAGATGAGAAATGCAATATTTCAACATCGGATGGTATTAGACTATTTATTAGCAGAAGAAGGGGGGGTGTGTAGAAAACTGAATGACTCAAACTGCTGTTTGCAAATAGATGACAGTGGAAAAGTGGTAAAACAAATAACAAAAGGAATAAGAAAGTTAGCCCGTGTACCGGTCCAAACATGGAAAAGATGAGAATGGGACATGTTTTCATGGTTACCTGGTGGCCTATGGGTCAAACAAATGCTTTTTTTCCTCTCATGTGTTGTAGCAACTCTAATCTTTTTACCATGCATGATCCCTTGCTTAATACAACTCATTCAACATGTGATGAAAAGAATGCAGGTAGTAGCTGTGCCTACTGATCCAGAGATAGCTACAAAAAGGCAGAAAGTAATGCCACTGCAAATAATTGCAAAGCCAAAAAGAACCTAAGAACAAGAAATTAGGTCAATGATAACTAAGGTTTGTAAAGACAATTATTAACAAAAATTAAAAGAGGAGAGATTGAGAGGAATGATGAGCTTGTCTTTACAAACAAGCTGTGGGTCAGTTGATAAGATGTAGCTATCAGTGAGAGACTACAGAAACAATGGGATGGATTCCAGTAGAAGATCAAAGAGGCACTGAAAGAACACTATGAATTCCATAAAAGTTAAGAAAGGATTATGCATTGGGGGTGGGGGGGGGAAGGTACCCCAGGTGTCAGGCGTTCCGGGAAGCCTGTACCTCTCAAGTACCTCAGCCTATGGGGAAAGGGAGAAGGGACAAGCGGCCGGGAATTAGGATAAAAAGGAGGGTGCGCCCTCCAAAAATTTGAGAGACCCCAGGGGAACGCCCCATGGCCTCTCCCTTTATTCGAATAAAGAAAAAGGACTCCTCTGTCTCCTTTTTGGACATAAACCTCTGGTGTTCGTGGATTAATTTTCCTGACAATCCCCTAATTGCAAATATCTCTTATGTATCTATTTTATCAGTTTTCATACTAACGGCCTTGCTTTCTTCCTAGCTATGGATAAACTCGTATTTTAGCAATTTCTACTTCTGCTAACTCAATTGTTTGGCCTGCAGACCAGCTGCTAAGCCCATCCACAGGGGAGCTCCAAACCCAGCAGGGCCTTTTGTTTTTGCAACGGTTCTTTCATCGGCACAATGACAAGACCAGGCCTCCACCCTGGGAGCACTCCTGAGGTGACAAGGACACACTCCAAAGGACAGCATGTGGGCCCCTGAACAAAGGAAATCTGCAAATACACAAAAGGTGCCCCAGGGGTGCAGCTTGACTTTTCTCCTCTAGCCTTTGCTGAGCTGACCTCCACACCTGAATCCTGAAGAATGGGAAGAGCACTGTGCCAGCAAGGTGCAGTCTGGCACCACTGCTGACCAAACAAAAGCCTCTTTGTATCATTCAAGCTACACAATTGTGGGAATAAATAAAAATGTGTCTGAATCAGTGCAGCCAAGCTCCCAGCAGGGTCTTGTGAGCCTCCCTATGCTGTTGTGGGACGGACACCTCATGGGAACTGACCAAGTGAGTGACAGCTGGAAGCTTGGCTGGAGGAGAAAGTTGTGATTTTTCAAAAATTGGAATGCTGCAGTTAAATGTCCCAATTCAGGGCTGCTGCTGATCTCAAACTGGGAGATGCTGTTGACTCTCTTGAGGGAAAAGACACTATGCAGAGACATCCAGAGAGATTGGAGCACTGGATTTTCTGTGGGAAAAGGTGCTGTCCACATGGCCCTGGGCCTTTGGCTATGCCACACAGGACACGGGTGCCACCCATGGTGGGGCAAAAAGGGAAGGCTGAGGAAGCAGAGCCCAGAGACTGTGTGAGGGAAATAACAATTTATTTCTTTTTTCATAATTAAAGGGTTGAAAGAACCTTGCTAGTGCTACTGGTGGGGGTGCCTCTTGCAGGGGTGGGGAGAGTCCTCAGGGTCAGGGGTCTTTCTCTTCAGGGACCGCTGGGGTGGTCCAGGTGAGCAGCATCTACTTGGGTGGGACCAGAGTATCTGGGGCTGGTCCCTGTCAGGGGGACCTGCTTCTTCCTGGGGCTGGTCCTGCTCTGGGGACACTGGCACAACTGAAGGGTGGCTTTGACACCTGGTAGGGTTTATGGATGCTAACTATGAGCAAAGGCAGAGAGCACAGTGCTTGTGGAGAAGGAGGCCACATAACTTTCTCAGTCTTGCCTGAGAAAGTGGCCTGGGAAATTATAAGGAGGAATTAAAATAATCCTTAGAGACAGAAGACAGCCTTGCAGGTGCTGCGTGTCAGTTTCCTGTTTTCTTGCAAGAGAAGGTCGAGGGCTGGTGTACCCCACTGACCAATGATGGTGATGTGTTTACTAACCAATAAGAGTTTTACTTTTCTGTACTTTCACGTATCGGTCTATAAAAGAAGATCTGAGGTAATAAACTTTAAGAAAAAGAAGAACTCTTTTGTTCAACTCACAGGAGAGTCTGTGTCGTTCTTCTTGTTCCCAATAGAGTGACAAGGGTTGGTCTCTGTTGTGGCAGCTTCCTCTTCTTCCTCTGTGGAGACTTCAGGGCTGCTAGAGAGGGTCCATATCCAAGAGATGGAGGAGCTGGAGCTGAGGCTCTTTGGGCTGGGGGAGCTGGGGCTGTAGAGGTTGTTGGGGTTGGAGGAGTTGGGGTTGTTGGGGCCGGAGAAGCTGGGGGAGCTCAAATTGTTGAGGCTGGAGGAGTTGGGGTTGTTGGGGCTGGAAAAGCTGGAGAAGATGGAACTGGAGCTGCTGGAGCTGCTCCTGGCTGCTGGGCTGTCCCCAGTAGTGTGGGAGCGCAGCAGCCTCTGGGCCCCTGAGCTGCAGTGTCTCACAATGGTGCCCTGGACCAGTGTCACTGTGTGTTCCTCCAGCACGCCCTGCAAACTCTGGATCATAGTCTCCCGGTCTGGCCCATACACACAGAGAGCATGCAGGATAGCACTCTGTGTGCTCCTTGCCATCCACCACTGGTCCCTATGGATGGCCTCCATCCTCTGGTTCAGCCAAGTCCGCACAGGGTCCAGAAGTTCCTGTTGTTGACGGAAAAGTTGTGCCCAGACCTCAGGCATAACACCGCCGACAGCTTGGGCTGGTGTCTCTTGAGGAGAAGAGGGATGGACCAGCACAGGTGGATGGGGGCTGTTCTCGTCCTGGTCACCAGGAGCTCTCCTTGCCTGGCTCATGGCCACTGGTGCTTGCTCAGGGGCTTTGATGATAATCTCTAGATAGTCACCTGCATCATCAGAAAACCTGTCAGATTCTGTTGCTCTTCTTCACAGTGGCCATGATGGATTTGTCTGTGCCCACTGCAGGATGAAGTCCTAGCAGAACTGGTGGCCACAGGGCAGAGCAGAAGCCACATCATCCCAAGTATCCTGACAGATATCAGAGTTGCCACCCATCTCTGTGGCCATACTTGGCTCTGGAGCACTTTGAGGAGGGCTCTCCTTCGCTGGTGTCACACCCTGCAGGAGAGGGGAGGAAGGAGGACAGCCTTCCACCTCCCTAGAGCCTCGGTCACCTGTCCACACACAACCAGGGCACATATCCTGTCAGTGATGCAAGTAAATGCTGCCCAAGCCAGGCAGGGCTGGGGAGACACTGCTGGTTGCTCTGGGACTGGCACTGGGACCTGCCAAGAAAAGACACCACTCAGCACCAGAGAAACCTGGCTTGACTCTCCACACCTCACAGTCATGTTTGGAAGGACTTCAGGCCAGAGCCAGACTGGCCCCAGCTCTGCCCACATCTATATTTAAGCAGTGAGGGGTGAGATGTCACAATCCTGCACTCAGTGATGTCACAGTCTGCCTCTTGCTGATGTCAGCAAGCAATGTCCACACCAGTGCATGTTGCAAGGAGAAAGATAAAAATATTTTTTCTTGTTTTCAACTTCTATATTTCCATGTTGCTCTTAGCCAATAAGCTGACAGGTCATGTACTCTCACACACACCTCTATAAGCTTCTAGACTACTCTATAAGACACATTATTACTGCTATAATTTCTAATGTCCCCTGCCTCTCTGCCACTACTGTCTGCCCTGCAGCAGCCAGGGCGACAGGGGAGGTAGATTAGCTTCTCAAAGAAGATCCTAAAAATGAGCTCTTTCCCTTGCTGAGATAGCAGTTACAGCTTTATTTCTCGGGACCCATCAGGGTGAGGTTGCAGGAGGGAAAAAAGAAGAGGTATCGATAAGCAGTCCTTTTTAAAGACAGGGGGGAAAGGGGTGGAGGGAATTAAACAACCAGTAAGAGGAACTGGGGAGAACAAGATAAGAGAAAGAAACTTACAATTCTACATTTTCGGGTTGTCGGGGTTTTAAACCAATAACTAAGAAAATTACTTACTTCTTGCTGTGAGATATGGACTAGAACAAGAGCAAAACAGGCATGCAACTTAAAAGGGAGAAAAAAGAAAGTTTATTGACAAACCACAATAATAAGAAAACCAGAATAAACTTCCAGAAAAACCTTTCCATCCCCTATCTACCCACTATTCCCTTGTTCACATGACAACAGAGACAAAAACTCTGGAACTCTGATGGTTAAAACAGTCTCAATTCTTGCTAGTCTTTTCACCAGTCTTTATAGAGAAACAGAAGTTTCTTCCTGTTAATTTATGGAGTTTCTCACAAGAAAACTATTTTTCTTATAGTTTTCTATTGCCCTAATGTTAGCTGCTCAGAGCTGCTATTATTAGAGTTCACTCCTCCCATTTTCACATCACTCTGAAGTATGTATGGGCCATGAGTCTAGAGATAGCATTTTAAGTATAAGTTATTCAAAGGCAAAAAAAGTCTTCTTCATCTGTTTCTGTGAGCTTCACCAGATAAGTTTTCTCATTGCCTCTCAAGGCTTCAAATCTCCCAACAGTTTTCTCATTGCCTCTCAAGGCTTTTAATCTCCCAGCACTTCACTATACTATAATTACTCTTTACTCAAATTTACACTTTGAACACTATTCCTCTCTAGATCCTATATCATGAATTAAAGGAGTTCTTTTCAGGACTTCATTGTCCATCTCCAGAGTTTTAACAGGGAGATATTTCAGCTTAATTAAAGCATCTTCTTAATTCTCTACCTTTCCTGAAGCTTCTTTTCTTTCCTGTCACTGGTAGTTTATAAAGTCTCTTTTCATGTTGATCACTCTCTCTCTCTCTGGATAAAAAGATTAATCCGCAAGTCTCATCTGGGTAATGAAAGAGTTAACATCTTGCCCAGGCTTTTGTAGATGGTTTGGAGATCTCTGCCGAACAGGAGCTGGAGCCGTCTGTGATGGAAAGTTCCTCATAGCTGCTCTGGAGCGTGTAGTCACTGCTCCAAACCGCTGCAAGTCCAGGGCCTCTCTCTTTCTTCACTGGGCAGTTTCTAGTGAATTAGTTACAGCAAAACCTGCAGCCGAGCCAGAGATCGGCTCGGCCCGGCCCGGGCCCGAGGAAAACCTTCCCCAGGCCCCCCCATCTCCCGGCCTGGAGACGGGGCAGGCCCGGCCCCATCCCCGCCCGGCCGCATGGCCTGGGCAGGGACGGGAGGCCTGGAGCTCCGGACCCTCCACAGCCAGGAAACAAAGAGAACCCAGAGAGCTCTGCTTTTACATTTTAAGGTAGGGTTCACAGGTTGATCCCACTTTTTAATGGTCTAAACTGCTGTCAATTCCCAGCAATGACCGATAATTGGTCAGGAGAAAAGACTCCAAGCACTTCCCAGCAACTCCAACTCCCTTAAAGGTAAAGTAACTCCATGACACGGGTGTACATTTTTTGGGTCATACCATTTTTTCTAACTGCATTACAACAATTACAACTCAAACCAAAACTATTTTCTTTTTCGATTCTGCTTTACTTCTTCTCACACATGGATTTCTCAGTCTCTTCCGAGCTGACCTCCTCTGGAATACTCCCCCACAGGGAGTTCCATTTATCTCAGTTCTCCAGGTCAAGAAGAAAACTCCAAAGCTCATTAGAATCTTGTTTCTCATGTTTATTAGGATGTTATCACAAAACTTGGCAGGTCTTTCCAGACTTTCTGCACAAATCTACAACCTGGCACATTTTGGCTCTGATGGCACAAAATAGCCCCAAACCATGCTGCTGTTTCATCTTTATGCCTATTTTTACCCTATTAACTATAGACATGTGTATTGTTTATATATATTCACAAATAAGTTTTCTATATCTACTTACGTAATTATAACTGCAACTAACTTTCAACCAATCACTCTTTGTGCTCCTAAAAACTGCAGAATCATGGAGAAGGAAGGAGAGCTAAAAACCACACCTTTTTTTCCTCCATCTTTACTCCATGTATTAAACACTCTAAAATCTGTCTTTTTCCCTTCAGTGACATACTAAACATTCTACTGTTTTCTACTTAATTTTTTATAAATCCTGGTTTATTCAGGGATATTTGGAAGCCCTTCTGTCAGTGACAAATAGGATTAATATGTTTTTGGAGAATAGGACAAACAGAGAAATGTCTCTCCATTTCTGGATTCCTACATCTTCCCCTTCTTACTCTTCAAGAATGGCTTCCTTGACCATGAATGTGTCAAGCAGATGATGTCTATACTTGACACATTGGTCAGAGCTCTCCAGACATTTTCTCTTGACTGATCCATGGATAAAACTGCTTTGCTTAAGGCAACCAACGAAAAGATAAAGCACAAACACAATAACTGGTTGATCTTGTTCAACCAGCTTATCTTTTGCAAAAATTCTTAGATTTCTGAATTAAACAACCCTTCCTCACAGACTCCCTGTCATGGGGTAGCTTTACCTTTAAGACAGCTTAGAGAGAGAGGAAGTTGAAGCTGCTGGTGGCTGATGGGAGTTTTTCCTCCTGACCAATTATTTTCCTCCTGACCAATTATCAGTCATTTCCAAGAATTGACAGCAGATCTGACCATTAAAAAGTGAATTCAACTTGTAAACACCCCCTTAAGAAGTACAGACAGAATTCTCTTGCCCTCTTTGGTTTCCGGCTTCTAACAAGGTAACAGGCTCTGTCTTGGCCTTCCCCACCCCCCTCTCCAGGCCGACAAGGCCGCGGTGGAGGGGGGAGGGAGGGGGAAGAGAAGCAGCGCTGGTCAGCCGAGCTTGGTTTTCAGTCTTTGTTGCTAGACTGAAACTTAACACCATGAACTCTTGCAGTTTTCTTAAAGCTTTTAATTCTTTTACTACCTGGATAAGCATACAGATTACTCCTTTTCTCAGAAAGACAGAGAGAGAGACAATCAACATAGAGGAGACATCATAGAACCACCAAAAGCAGTGAAGAAAAGACTTAAGTTTGAATAAGAAAGAGAGAATAAGGAGATGCTTTACAGCTGAAATATCTTTCTGTTAAAGCTATGGAGATGGACAATAATAGTATAAAAAACTCCTTTAATTCATGATAAGAGTATTAAGAGGAATGAGATATTCAAAGTGTAACTTTTGAGCAGAAGAGAGAGAGAGTGCTTGTGATACTGTGAGTTGCTGGAATTGAGTTGAGTGAAGATTTTGAAGCTTTGGGGGGCAAAGAGAAAACTGTTTTCCAGGAAGGCTCACAGAGACAAATGAAGAAGACTTCTGCCTTTGAATAACTTATCCTTAAAAATAAAATCTCTAAACTCAGTGACCCATACACACCTCGGAGAGATGTGAGATGGGAGGAGAAGATCTAATGACAGATTTCCGGGCAGCTGGCATTAGAGAAATAGAAAACTATGATGAAAAATAGTTTTCTCGTGAAAAACTCGGTAAGCTAACAGAAAGAGACTTCTGTTTCTCTACAAAGACTGATGAAAAGACTGTAGCAAGAATTAAGACTGTTTTTAACCACCGAAGTCCTAAAGTTATTTGTCTCTATGTTGTCATGTGTACAGAGAAATAGTTAAGATGTGGAAGATAAGGGGGTTTTCTGACAGTTTATTCTGGTATTCTTATTCTTGTAGTTTGTTAATAAACTGTCTTTATTCCTTTTAAGTCTTAAACCTGTTTTGCTCTTGTTCTAATACATATCTCACAACAAAAAAATAAGTAGGTTTTTTAAGTACTGCTTTAAAACAGCGACACTCCCCAGTCCATAAATTTTTGCATGCAGGTTGTCTGATGTTCAAGATGTTGAATGCTGTTTTCATTTTGAATCACATTTCTGTGCTGGCTTTTTGATCTCCGGAGTCTCCGTCTGCTTGCTTCTCGGTTCGATATGGTTTCACGTGTTTTGCAGGAACTGACCTTGGTCCTGCATCTGTGGAGACACAAGCATATCCTTTTCCCAGGTTATTAATTGAAATGGACCTTCAATCTGTCCTGATTCTAAATTTCTGACCAAAACTAAAGGTCTCTCCTTTAGTTTTGCCTGGGTAAAAGTTTTGAGAAGTGTCTGATAATTGGTGGAGTAGGTTCTGCAAAAGAGCCATTCAGAAAATTCAAAACTTACAGAGCTTTATTCAATTGCATCTGAGGTGTAGCTTCTGCCTCTCCTCTTTTCTGCTTATCCAAAATAGATTTTAAAGTACGGTGTGTTCTTTCAATAATTGCCTGACCTGTTGAAGAATGGGGGATGCCAGTAGTGTGGCAAACACCCCATTTCTTCAGAAATTCGTTGGGAGTGTGATTCTTGTAAGTTGTCCCATGATCCGTTTTAATTTCTTTAGGTACACCTAATGATGCAAATGCTTGTGAAAAATGCTTGCATGCCTGTTTCGCTGTCTCACCTGTGTGAAGAGAGGCAAAAACTACACCTGA